AGTGGCAGAGGTGCGGTGGTCTGACATTGCCATAAGGTCACTTCATCTGGCCTGGGAGCCCCCTTTCAGCCCAGAACAGGCAGTACTGATAATAGCTGACTCTTGAACAGGTCTTATCCCTTTGCAAAGTGCCTCCACATACTGCCACCTCCTTTGACACTCACAGTGACAAGGACAGGTGGGTGGGTAGAGCCCTTCCTCTTCAGTATGCACAAGGAAACTGAGACCCATGCTAGGAAGCAGAGCCAAGATGAGAACCCAGGAATCCTCGCTCCTGGGTGGGGCTATTTTCCACTCCTGTGACAGTTTCAATAGTCAGGGGCCTCCCCAGCCAGAACAAGGAGAGTGGGGGGTGGGGGTGGAGGCAGGAGAGACATTCAAATCAGGTAACAGCTGACTGATAGAAGAGATGACCCTAGGCCCAGTGCTGGGCCTGGGTGGGGGCAGGTTCCAGGAAGGGCCTGGGACGATGGCTGAAGGGAAATACTGAAATGTTGTAACAACCTCACTGACTTGCTATTCAGCCCCCAGCCACCGCCTTCACTTGGGGCCAGGGAGCTGCAGCCAGGTCTTCTCTCTACAGAGTTCAAAGAGGCCTTTTCCTTGTTTGACCGGACGCCGACTGGAGAGATGAAGATCACCTACGGTCAGTGTGGGGACGTGCTGCGGGCCCTGGGCCAGAACCCCACCAATGCTGAGGTGCTGCGCGTCCTGGGCAAGCCCAAGCCTGAAGGTCAGTGTGGCCACATGGCTGACCTCTCCCGGTGTCTGCCCCGCAGCCCCTGGGCCCCTGGGCCAAATTTATCTCCTGTCAGTGGGCTTTCTCTTCCCCTCTTTAGCGCTCAGAATCAGCTCNTATATATATATAAAATATATATTTATTGGACACTGAATTTGTGCCAGATACCATGCTAATTGCTTTAAAAGTTAAAAAAAATTAAATCCTTGTAACAAAGCTGTGAAATAGACATTATTTTCTTTCTCCAGAGGAGGAAACCAAGACTCAGTCAGGTTAAATGACTTGGCCAACATCTCACAGTTAAGTGGTAAAATTGGGATGAAACTCAAGTAAGATAACACTTATAGCACTGTTTGAGTATCTGCTATGTGCTGAATATTGTGTTAAGATTTTTTACATACATTATTGTATTAATTTGAATGTAATTTAAGGACCCTATGAGGTAGGTGCCATTTATAGAAGAGAAGAAGTTTGTAGAGGTTAAATACTTACTTGTCCAAGGTCACCCAGCTAATAAGTAATGGAAATGGAATGTGAACTTCATTATTCGGTAATGCAAAAGACATGTGGTTACATATCTTTTAAATTCATCAAAGCCTAATAAAGAACTTCAAGTAAAGGTCTGGCGGAATCTGCTTTGACATGTGGAGTGATTTGTAAATAATCCACATGCAACCTCTAAAGAAATAAGTACGTGGAGAGGATTAAAAATGGCTTTTCTGTATATGTATATCAAATCATCACATTGTACACTGTAAATGTGTACAATTTTATTTGTCAATCTTACCTCAATAAATCTGAAAAAATAAACATTTCTTTTTAACGGCCTGAAAAAATAAACAAACAAAAACTGGCTTTTCTTCTAAGTAGTTTACACATTCTTCTTTGGTTTATTCTGTTAATCTGCTTAGCAAACCACTTTTTTGTGGATAGCGTAAGGTAATGTCTATGCTCTCAGCCCAAATCATCCCCACTAATGAATTGGTTGAATCCACATTAGTGAAGAATTAAAGCTGTCAGCAAAGGCGTGCCTTAATTCAGCCTTGGCCCTTGGATACCTGCTCTGCTACCTTTGGGAGTCCAGTCCCTACAGTTCTGAGCTGGCTCCAGAACTAGGAAACATAACAACAATCACCATTTCTTGAGGAGTCTCTTACCATGGCCTAGACACTGTGTGTGGCACACTTAGTGTTCCTGCCACCAACCACTCAGGTAGACATTGTAGCCCCACTGAGAGCTAGGAAAATGAGGTCCTGCAGAGGTTTGCCTAAGGCCACCTGCAGGTCAGTGGCAGAGGTGCGGTGGTCTGACATTGCCATAAGGTCACTTCATCTGGCCTGGGAGCCC